ATTGCATGCAACCTGACTATGCTGAGATCTAAAATAATAATATTTTGCATAAGGGTTAAAAATAAAAATAAAAACGGCCTCTTAATAGTTGGATTATTATATTGTTGTTGTTTGCTTTTTGGATTGTTATTTTATAATTTGCAGCCTTGTGAAACGCATATAAGACTAGCTAGTGATAAGTATTATGTCTCAACGAAGCATGAAGGAAAAAAAAAAAAAAAAAAAGGAAGAGAGTACTAATTCACATGTTCGCGAATGTATCAGAACCTTCCCGTAAAATTCTGTTGATCACCTATAGTTCAAACCGCATCATAATTTATCATGTTCAACCCATTAGCTTGTCCATACATTTTATACTATATCTATCTCCTACATTCTTATTTTCAACTACAGTTGAAACTAACACATTTCTAACTTCCAAATTATGATGATTCAGAAAAAAAAAAAAAAAAACAACAACAACAACAACTATGTAGTAGTTTAATTGGGAAAATATACGGCAGGTATTAATTGGTGGTGCAATCTGTTAATTAGGAAATATTGTTACGTACAGATATTTTGGATTACACTTACTTTCTAGTCTCTACCAGCAAGATCAGCTTCAGCTTTGATGCTCGAGATATGCTGCATATGTGCGTAAGTAGTACTGATTTTGAAAGCTCAATCATGGATACTGGATAGGGAAAATCCATAGACCAAACTTCAAATCAAATTATGCAACTGGCCGCCAAACTAGACTTTCTTTTACCAAACATATAACCCAAAACAAGAAAATAAATATTAGTAGGAAAAAATTTGCCAAAGTACATGCTTTAAACGATTAAATATTGTCAAAATTACATCAAAATAAAAAATCATACGCAACTCCTATATTTTGATACATAAATGATAATTCAGACTTTTTAACTATATATTAATGTAAAATTAACAAAGGAGAGATACGAGATATCAAATGAATTTTGAAAGAATAGATGGATGTGTGTAAATAGAGTGCTCTGCTATATTTCACACTTGAATAATACAAAACCAAAAGCAAGCTTATATACAAGACTTTGTCTAACGGCTATATGCTAACCAACGGTAATAATAATATAAGAAGGGAAAGAATGATTTCTAAAGGAAACGAATCATTTCCTGAAACCAAGCATTAAGGCATATTAATTCTAGATGGTGTGAATCCATGAGAGACAGCTATGCATTGCGCTAAGTTTGCAGTAGGAGAGTTGACTCTTTTCTTGGTGTCTCTCAGCATCCCATGATTTGAGTTGGTATCTCGTTGATTTTGAACTGATTTGGTGAGATTTTTATCAATTTCTTCAACGAAGAGAGAGGACAAATACCAGATTCAAATCGTCACGCTATTAACATCATTAAATGGACTGTAATATTAAAGCATGAAAAACGAATAAACGATCAATTAAAAACATTTCAAATTTTTTAAATGATGTGACTCAAGTCCCTTGTACCACATACTGCTAATGGTTTACTTACAAAAAGGACACGTTGTTCTAATACAAAGCACATGCCGTTCCTAAGTACAGTGTACTCTTGTTAATAAGGCTAGCAGTCCAGATGATACAACGACACAACTCAAAACCCGCATAAAATTAGTGGGTTTGAGTTTATTATAAATGTGTTTGGGTTATAGTCGGGTTGACACAATTAACACAATTAATAAATGGGTTGAGTTAGGGTAAACGATCAATTAAAAACATTTCAAATTTTTTAAATGATGTGACTCAAGTCCCTTGTACCACATACTGCTAATGGTTTACTTACAAAAAGGACACGTTGTTCTAATACAAAGCACATGCCGTTCCTAAGTACAGTGTACTCTTGTTAATAAGGCTAGCAGTCCAGATAGTGATACAACGACACAACTCAAAACCCGCATAAAATTAGTGGGTTTGAGTTTATTATAAATGTGTTTGGGTTATAATCGGGTTGACACAATTAACACAATTAATAAATGGGTTAAGTTAGGGTTGACCTCCTAACATGAAGTGACACGAATTGACATGATTAACAATATGTATCATCTACAATCTAATGATATGTGATATAACATGAAAGTTTATATGACATATTAAATACAAATAATGTGAATTTTAATATTTGTAGGTAAAATTCATTTATTTTTTTAAAGAAAAAGATAAATTGACCAATAAACATGTTAAACATGTTTTGACCGTGTTAAATAAGTCATTATTATATTAATTATTTATTCAATATATTAATTTAAACGGGTTATACGGTTGACATAATTAACACGATTAATAAATGAGTCGTGTTTGAATTAACATTTTTGACATGTTTAATAAACAGATCGTGTTTCCATTGATGTTTTCTGACACAATTAATAAACGGGTTGACACGAATACGACCCACTAACACGAATTATCACCCTTACTTGTTAAGTCTTAAAAAAAACAAAAACAAAACAAAAAAAAACGTCTTCTTTTGTAGTCTGTCGTTTTGTATAAGAAACCACAGGTACGTTATGGTAAAAACTAAAATTTACGGACAATTATTAAAAAAAAAAAAAGATTTCATCTTCGTTTTTGGAAATTTTTTTCTATTATTATTTTTTGGCTTTCCCACAATATGAAAAACTAGTCATGTTTTCGAACTAATAAGCAACATTATCTACGGTGTCGCCATTTTCCCCCTAAAGACAATGTTACTCAAATTGGGTGTATTGTTTTCAAATATAGTTTCATAAATATAAAAATAAATACACACACATATACACTATATATATATATATATATATGTTTTCTAAACTTTCGGATGGGTATTTGAACTGAATCTTACGGTGGTCATTTAGTATAATTTTAACTGCTAGCTAATCTCAGAATTAATATTAAGCATTAAACATGATTCTGTCAACATGCCATTAATTTCTAAATTAAAGTTTACCTACTAGGATTATTCATCAAGCTGTTTGGTGGAAAGAAGGTATAACTAGATAACAAAATTCTTGCTTATAATCCTATGCGCTGCCAGCTTTAAATCTCTACTGTTTTCTGATAATAATTATATTACACACTACCACCTCAGTCCCTCTCTTACTTCTTTTCTCCCAATCGAAATTAATTAATTAAAATAATGGATTGGTCAAAAGTGTTTCATAAGCTAATACTCATATGCTAATATTTAATCATGTGGAGTAGAATTGCAATCGCCTTATTTATTACTTTCTAAGCTTATATTATGCGCCCTGGTTTTACCACAAAATATAAAATATCCCTTTCTTTGCTATTGTTGGCACTTGTAGCCATTTCCATCTTTTTTTACCAACCAATGCAAATGGAATGCCATGATTTCTTTGACCAAGTTAACCTGGACAAACTTAATTGTAAATTACTATATATAAAAACGTGATTTCATGACGTAAGAAAATTTTGGTGGCATAACAACAAATGGTAGAAGGATTAGGTATAGTGAGAGGTTTTCTTCTATTCTCTTTTTTAATTGAGAAATAAAAGGAGAAGAAGAAATTACCTAACCAACCTTGTTTTTCTTCATAGCTTTGAAGATCATTACCTAGCTAGGTGACCACATAATCTATTCGCCATTTTCATTGTATTACTTGAAACACACAAGTAACTTGTGGAAACCGACCGCTAACGTATCGACACCTATGAGGTGTTAGCTTCCTTATGATTAGAACTTTGTATATAATTCATACAGTCAATGTCTTGATGATAAAGAAGGAATAAAGTCTTAGTTCTACCGGTGACAAGCAAATTTATAGGATCCAGATTACCGTACTACTTAGTGATTTTTATATTTACGCACTAACTTATTTAATCTCACCTGTAACTGTTTCCATATATATATATATATATATTTCAAATTCTTCTCATTTGCATTTATATGCATTTTAATAATTGCGATGTGGGAATTCTCAACGAGCCCATAAGTTTCGTCTTACGTTCAACTTCCAAGCAAAAAGGAAAAAAGGAATAAATATATATATATATATATATATACATACTTTCGTCTCAGTGATCTCAACAAACTCGCATTTCATTTTGCCAAAGTACGTAATTAATATGTGAAAAAAAATCAAATTAATTACGATATATACTTGAAGATCAATTATAAATATCAATATGCATACACATACACAGACACACACAAATATATTTATATATTCCCAAAGGTCGGCAAAGAGTTTATTTCTCCACGGTGATCAGTTAATTAAGTTAATTAATAGGCCAACATACCGAGTATGAATTATACAAGACTTGAGGAGAAAATCATGTAAATTGATCATATATAACATTCCCGAATACTACTATGATATGATGCGTGTGTATGTTTTTATCTAGTACGTACCATAATTTGAGCAAAACAAAACCATTTTTTTTTAATGTACGTATTCAATATTCTTGATGTGCTAATTCAGTATATAATTCCCTCTAAAATTTTTATTGTGCGCCCTAATCACTCTTGTAATATTGCTTATCATAATTCATAACTAAACATTTTAAAATTTTTTATATGTAATTAATACTTGTTTTTGTGTCGATATTCTGCCCCACTTGGCTAAGAATGAACTAGAGGGCGCAAAACAATATATGAATATATATTGATTGATGTTGGTAATATTATATTTAGTTTTTGCATCATTAGAAGAAAGAAAAGAAAGAGTGTACTATATAGTTCTTTCTTGATAAACTCAAGTCAACACGTTCAGTAGTACTGATAAACTAAACTGATTTGAATAAAAATTCAAACTGATAATTATTCAAATAGAAATATATACATCAGATTTCAAAGGGAAAAAAATCTCTATAAACATATATGTACAATAGTGGTACATGATAAGTTGTTGATGCTCATATGTCCCTTCATATGTATGGCTAATGTACTATATATTACAAGAATATACACAGCAGAATAAGAAATTAAAGAAAATAAAAGGTCCGATAATACAAGCATAATTATCAAGTACCTTTCTAGCTCAATCGTAACTAATGAACTATATGAAATTAGTTATAATGCATAGTGGGATCATCTAGAAAAAGTTCAGTAGGCGAATGCGAAATATAATTAGTAGTAGTACTACTACTTGGACGTCCATAGCTAGACATAGTACTAGTAATGCTTGTGGAATCTCCTGGAATTATAATATTATTGCACATTAACGCCTCATGATGAGTTAAATTTGGAAGAATATTTGAAGGAGAAAGAGGTGGAATAAACCATGTAGATGATGAGTCATGATCATGATGATCATGATCAGGTGGGTAATCTCCTTGCAGATCATTACTAACCATATTTGTAGTAAAGCTCTCAGAATTACCTAGCTGCTGGCCCATAATATTTTGATCATGTTCGTGATGATCACTATTCAAAGATGGTTGAAAACTGAGAGGGACTTTTTGTGGGTCTAGGTGAGATAATAGGGCTGGATATTGGTGGAGTGGTTGAGGAGAAGTGGTACTAGTATTATCATAATAATAATTTTCATGATGATGAGAAAATAAGCTTGGATTTCCCACTAGTACTTGTGACATCAAGTTTGAAAACGGGTTATCCACATGATCATGATCCGCAACGACGTCGTTTTCGATCTGCTGGACGTAGCTGGATTGGAGAAGCAAACTTTGGAGGAGTTGAAGGTCCATTAATGGATGATGCTTCAGAAGGTGATCTTTGAAGTTAGCCAAGGCCATAAGATGAGGCAAGCTGGAAAAGAGGTCGATTCTCGGCTGATGGGTCATTGGATCAAAACCCATTTGGATTAGCTTCTTCTTCAAATGGGTGTTCCAGAAATTCTTGATTTCGTTGTCTGTTCTTCCCGGTAAATGTGTTGCTATTGCTGACCATCTTATGAAGACGCAAAACAAAACAAAAAAATAAATAAATATAAGCTTAATTATTATAGTGTATACATGTGATCAGCTCGCTGAAAATAGATGAAAATATGGAAAAGTTGGTATTTATATAAATTCACTATAACATAATTATTACTTGTTTCCAAGGATGGAATGAAGATGAAGAATTGTTTGCTCCTCATCTTGAGAAAATTTGCCTCTCTTGATATCAGGCCTCAAGTAATTTGTCCATCTTAACCTGCAGCTTTTGCCACATCTGTTGAGACCTGTAGAGACAAAAAAAAAGTGGAGAAAAAAAAGTCAAAATACTATCTAGGCTAGCTTATAGATATAAAGAGATAAAAATTAAAGTACATAAATTTAGATGAAGTATAGAAATTTACCTGCAAGCTTGGGAAGGGCTCTCCAACTTCCAAAGCCATGTTTCTGGATGTGTTGGATAAGCTTTTCATCCTCTTCAGGAGTCCAGGGCCCTTTTTTGAGACCGTTTTCCTCACAACTTGGAGAACTATCCATTGTATAATATGTCTACTTATTGCGCTTAATTAGCTAGCTTTGGCTGCTTCCCTCGGTTTGAACAAAATCTAGAACTTACCTATTATTTATAGGCAAATCTTCCTCGCGTACGTCGTGCTTCTCGTCGTTAATCATCTTTTTTAAAAATATTTATTTATTTATTTATTTTCTTAATGTAAGAGTTTCCGACCTTTTATTTGGCAAGTCAAGATTGGCCCACGTCCTCGCATATTCTCGTAATATTAGAAAAACAGTGTCATGTAATTAATTAAGGTCGCACGCATATATGATATATCCTTCATTATTAGCTTTTGATACATATGACATAAAATTGATGTGACCATGAGATGATTTCTTTTTCATTACGAATCAAATGAAAGGTGATCGATGTATACAATAGGGATTTACTATTTGATCCGTACATGCATATCATGACATATACGATATGAGTGACGTATTATTGGTTTAGTGCAAAATGTATTCATGTGCACTTAAGTTTAAAGGTATTGTGCGTGATTAAGTATGAACTTCTTGCCAAAAAAATACAAACTTTTTAAGAATCTCTTCAATACTCTTACGCTTCAGAAATAAGAAATAATGTGTGTGCGTCAGGGACGTAGCTACATACTGACCAAGGGGCTCAAGCCCCCCCTCAATTGTTTTTTCTTTCTTTTTTTTCCCTATATTTATATAAAAATATCTTTTGATAATTGAACAAAGCCCCTCTGAAAAATTAAAACTACCATTTTATACCCTTTAAATTCTTGTTGTAATTATTAGGCCCCCCTCACAAAAAATTCCGCTTCGTCACTGGTGTACGTATCTAAGACACACACATATACATATATGTTACGTAAGATTTTTTATTTTAGCAAAAAATGTGATAAATGTTTTCTTCCAAACGAGACCATTAGAAGTTTGGAACACTTGGTCTCAGCATAATAGGAATAGCTAGGGGCAACTTGGTCTATAACACGTACAGTTTTTAGCTTCTTTTAACACGCTAAACGTGTGTGTGTGTGTGTGTGTGTGTGTGTGTGTGTGTGTGTGTATATATATATCACAAAAGGATTAAACTTTCAAATCAGAATACGTGAGACCGTGCCATGTCATTGCTTGCCAAGGAACTCGTTTCATACACGCAACAAGAGTCACTTTCGTCGCTGCCTGCAATGACCTTGAAGGATTTTTACCAATATTTAGAATTTACACATATTTTACAATCTAAGATCCTGAAGGGAATCTGTACATTAACGTTTTCTATATGGATCATTTCTCTTCATATATGACACTTGCATTTACATATTTCTCAAGCCAATTCATACTCCTTTCCTCTGTGGCTAAAAACGAGGAAAAAATAAATAAATTTTGGTGCTAGCTAGCACATGCCACATAGTGACAATCGTTAGAAAGATGCACAGAATGTGACTCGTTTGACTATTAGGGTATGGGCAGTTAGGGAGAAGTTGGTACAGCAAATTAACGACTCAATATAACCTAAAAATATATCTTTTTACTTTCTTAACCTTGAGAAGACATGGTTTTTTTACGCGCTAATTACTTAATTATTAATGTAATTCAATGTTACTCCATACAGAGCTAATTTGTTCTCTTTCTTCTTGTTCTTTTATACAATTTCCTTTGCTAAACTACTAAAGTGGAAGGTTATTCTCTAGTAAAAGCCAATGACTTGTACAAATTTGACTATAAGTATTTTTGGATGCCCAACTAATTACAATACAGCCGTAGCTAATTAAAGACCAAAGCTACTACATATATACATACATATATATATATATATGTATATGTATATACATATATGTGTGCGCGCACGCTTCTAGGGATGAATTCAATGAATTGTACACGTCTTTCTACGGGCTGACTTGGAAAGCTAGCTAACCATGCATAAGTATTTCAAACCTAAAGCTGATCATCTAGTTTGTTAATGACAACTTAATTAAACGTCAACATCAATTTCCACCAGCCATATGAGGAGTGAGAGAGACAATTTCCCCCCCCCCCCCCCCCCCCTCCTTTCGTTAATTTATAGTAACCTCAAACTAAATTCTTTTCCTCTCTCATAATGCATATTGTAAAACGTCTCTTTAATTTGTCACTTAATTTCAAGAACGGTTTATTACGATCCTTTCGACAGTTTCCTGTGTCAACCTCATACGTATATGAATGCAATATATATATATATATATATATATATGATGGGGTTGTCGTAGGTAGAACATCAAATCTTAAATTAAACCTTGCATGGGCCCTAAATAAGAGCATTAAATGATCAAAGACAGCTCATCAGTGGACAACTTTCTTAAGAGCCAACCGCTAGAAAGAAGTGTCAGGTATATGAAGGAAGTCGGCTGCTCTGAAAGGATACAAAGGACAATATGAAGTTGACCGTACCTACAATCGTAAGTGAAGAAGCTTCTGAAAGCGTTTACGAAGTCGAGGCTACACAAGAGATGAGATTCACAAGATTTGCTCGAAAATTTGCTATTTGTAAACCAAATATATGAAATTTAAATAAGAAAACTGCACTGATTAATTGTAATCTCTTTCTTTTGGAAAACTATCCCAAAATATAAGGAAAATAACCCAAATTCAAATAGGGAAAGTTTATGGGCGGAGGGCGGTGAACTAAGCTATAAATAAGGGATTATGAGTCAAAAAGCCCTTAAATCTGATTTTGAGTATTAGTGCGTGTAATTCCTCCAAAGATAGTGAAATTTCTCTCCTCCTGCAGTGGACATAGCTCTCGAATTGAGGGTGAACCACTATAAATTTTGTGTGTTCTTGTTTAAATTCTGCTTTTAATTGTGTTTTAAATCATTTAATTCGCACAAATCGGTTAAAAACTCATTATTATTCTATTGACGAATTTTCACATGATAGATTTTTTTTTTGGCTAGAAAGATATATAGACTTTATTTGCTGTATATATATATATATATATATATATACATACACACAGCTAAGGGCTTTGTTTCAATGTCGGCT